ACACACACACACACACACACACACACACACACATCTAAATCACTTCATTGTTGCTGCCGTTGTTGTTAAGGTGCCGTCAACTCCACTATGGCTCTTAGCAACCCTATGAACAATAGATCAGAACCTTGCCTTGTCCTGCCCCATGGTATTTGCATCATGCTTAAAAGTCTGTATTTAGAACATAAGAAAATGGCTTAGCATGTAGTAAGTGATCATTAAATACTCATTCTTTTCCTTTATTACACTTACCTCCAATTTTTTTATTGCTATTGTTCCATATTGATGACACAGCTACATAATGATTTTAGATATAGATTAAATTTTAAAAATAAAATGCTTGAGGGATATTCTACTCACTGAATCCTGAGCCTTACTAGAACCCACTGAGAAGCGATACATGTCTTTAGTCTTGGTGATGTGTTGTTTTCAGCTCTTTCAAACATGAGAACATAGACTTGAGTTGTGACTCCTGTAAACAAGTGGGCATGGGGAACAGCCGATAGGCTTTGTAACTGCCACGCTCCTTGATAGTCTCAAGGACAAGCAGTGTGCTGGCCCTGTGCTGGTCACTAGGAGGAACAATAAAAATAAGCTATAGTTCTTGCCCTCCAGGAGCATAAAATGTGACTAGATTAGATGAAAAGAGAAAAGATGACATAAAGGCATAAATACTATGTGCTCGAGGAGTGGATACAGTCCTGTGGTGGGAGAGGAAGGTGGCCAGGTCCTGCCTGCACAAATCCAAATCAAGGAAGGGAATTGGATTCAGTTAGGTGAATGGAGAAGATGGGGTGGGCTGTTAGGACATCCTGTGGAGACGAGTGTGGCTGCAGCGTGGTTGGTAGGCACTGAAGCCTGCACTCCAGCTGCCAGGAAAGCAGAACTCTGTGGAGACTGACACACGGCTCCACTCTGAGGGCTTCTTCCATCACTGGCCTTCCACACATTCTCCAGGAGACGCAGTAACCTGATCATGGCTGCAGGCTTGATTACAGTGACCATGAACCCAAGCCCCCAGAGTGCTGCTAGGCCAAAATACCACATGAGTCGTTGCTTTCAACTCAAGAACTCCATTCCCAGCCTTAATCGATGTACGTGGCTTCGAAACAGAAATGTTGAGAAGGCCTGATACGTATGCCTCTCAGTGCTGAGCTGGGTGTTTATTGTATATGTGACCTGATTCATGTGTTGAGATATTTATAGTCAAGTTGTAGAGCTTCTGTGGATAAGAGCAAGCATAAGAGATAGACAGGTGATGAATAAGAGCAAAGTCCATTGTGAGAATATTTCTGATAGCTCCTTGTTAATCATCTCCTTTGCTCGTCCCTCAAGTTGTGGTTTCTCCAGGAGACTCTGCCCTGTACCAGCAAATGCAGCCTACTCAGAACGCTACTGAGGAGCCTACAAATGCCAGGCATGTTGCTCCGCTTATTTAGTGCTCATGCTCGACTATTACTCCTTATTTTAGAAGAGAAAATTGAAGTACAGAGAAATTAAGTAACTTGCAAAATATCACATAGCAATTAAGTTGGAATTTGGAACCTAGGCATCTATGGCTCCAACATACTGTTCTTAACAAATGCAATGGATTTAGTCTTTTATTCCCTCATTGATTATAGTTAAATATATACATATGTTGTTGTTGTTCT